GAACACGGTCAAAATGCGAACGTAATAGTTTGAACACAGTCAGATATGAATGAATCTTGAGTAGCAGGACATAAAGTTAAGAAAGAGATAAAGTTCTTGGGAAGCACAATAACTACCCTATATAAGATGGTGAGGTGTAACTCAAATACTTATCTCTCTGAACATTCTAATCATTAATTTCCTTATTTCTAGATCTGAAATAATGACTTGATGAGTGTCAGAGAATTCACGTCGGGAACTCCTCTGATCGTTGTTTTGCATTAATTGCGGGACATCTAATGTAGGTAAGCTTACGAGGATCATATGAATTTGGATATGATCTATCACAAGAATATATGTGTATATTTAGTTCCTTGAGTAGATAAAATTTTCGAGCAACAAATTAATCATAATCATCAATTTAATAATCCATGACCTACCTCCACCTAATTAACAAACACAATAGGGACACCACTTAGGATCTAGGATTTCCGTTAATGGCTAGACTTGAAAGAATTGAGATCAATTAAAAACTTTGAAACATGACTTTCAAGATGGACAATGATTAAATATTAATATTATCTTTAAATTATGTACTTCATCGTCTTCATGTGTTGAGCTATATCAGATGTGATGCAAGCATCAGTTATAATCAATGTAATTGAATGTTTAGAATCACTTAATAGTAATAATAAAATAGAGAATCATGTAATGAATATCAAGTCATCTTTAAAATCAAGAAGCAGTTGGATTACGTACGCATCTTTTTATATGTCAAACAAATATTTTTCTAAAATAAAAATTAAATCAAGGGGTTGCAAAATACAATTAAACGAGAGATCTTTCATACGTTTGCAGTTCCTTTCAATTTTCTAAATCATATGATCTACTACTATTTTTACTTGTGTTTCTGTCTCGCATGGGTCCAATAATAATAATAATAATAATAATAATAATAATAATAATGTGGACTATTTTACTTTTGGTCAAACTGAAGAAAATAAAAGGGCAATCCATTCACAAGATGTTAGAAAGTGTCCGTGAACAAGACCCAGAAAAGCAACGACTGAAGGAGCTCATATATAAAAGAAGAATTTATCAGATAAATTTTATCTCAATCAAATCTCTTATTAATATCATAATATGCGAATTTTCTAACAATATAATATTACATTAATATAAGTAATTTATTTTTATTGATTAAAAAAGGAACAAAACCGTCTCCTATCAAATAATACAATAGCAACAATAATAATCAAATATCATACAGNAGAATGCTGTCCCATAATTTAAATTTATTCTCATCTCTTTCTGCACAAGTGGCATTTTTTTTCTACTCTTACTATGAAAAATGATACTAATATGCAAGAAACCATATGTAATTTGATATCTGGATTTCAGCTAAATATAAAAGGCTCACTTGGGCTTTTCCAGATATTGGTGGCAAAAATAATAAATAAAATTACTCATCAATTCATCTACAAATTCCTATTTATTTATTTATTTACGAACTTTATTTTTAATTACAAAATATACTAAACTTTCGTGGTTTAAGAATTGTTTATTTGTGGTTTTATTTTTCAATCATTAGTTTTCAAATTGTTGATGCGTGTTCTTTTATTTTTGTAAATTGCAAAAGTTTTTAAAAAGTTATTCAGCAGTGAACAATAACCGAAATAATAACTCTATTTAACAGGCTATTGATAAAAGCCCAATAACCATGGCCCTACTATTGATATTCACAGATGGGCACTACAATAGCAATCCAAGCAAAAAGACGGCCCAATTATGTGCAGCCGAAGTTGTTTTTTAAGTTATCTATATAGTCCCGCGGTACATGAAATGCAACACTGTTTACTTATCTCTATAATTATTTTACATACCTTAATGAATTCATTAAGAGATTTCATTAAGGTTAAATACAATGTTTTTAATTATTTATTTGATTAAATTCATTAATTGAATTCATTTATTTTCTTATAAAATTTTGTATTGTTAAAAATTATTTATATTTAATTATTATAATCAGTTAAAAATTTAAAATAAAATAAAAAATACATTTTGTTGGTCGTTGGTTCGAAACCAACCCGATCTTGTCGGGCCGGAAAATGAAGAAGTTCCGTCTACCTTGTAAAAAAATACAAGTTTTATTAAAATTAAAAGATAAAACACAACAATAAAATATGTTTACAGTCGGGGTATTTTTTTTTATACAATTGAATATTACCTACATATTATCTACGAAGTATCTCACTTGATACAATTACTTACTAGTCTATCCAATTATATTTTTTTAATTATATAATAAGAATTTCGATAATATGTACCTTTAACTTAATCCAAAAGAAAAATAATGATAAGAGAAGATTTCATTTAGAGTAAAACGGTTGGAGATTAAATATCTAACTCTAGAGTAGAGTACATATACAGAGTAGAGTAGAATGTGTGTGTGCGCGTTCAAAGTTCAAACAACTTCTAGTCGTTTAGTTTACTCATGGAAGGGCATATTGTTGATGAAAAAAACACTAAATACTAACTATATAATATTCAAAATTATTTATTTGGAATTCTATTTACTTATTTATTCAATAATTTTTATTAATTCTATATATTTAATAAATCATGTCGTCATTCTTTTCCTATATACTATCACATTATAAATACGGAGAAATTTATAATAATTTGATAAATTATATGGTTTATAGTTACTTGCACAAGCTTTATTATCTTTGTGCTTGAATTTATATATTATCTTATTAATCTTTTTATTTAATTTTATTTTATTCGTATTTATTCATTTTGTTAATTATTATACATTAATATCATCATTATCTACTAATCAGTTTGGCGGCACTAAAGTGTCTTAATCTTTGTCTAAGAGTGAACTTAATTGGTCATGCACGGTGGCGACGCGGTGCTTGACAACCATATTTTCTTATATATTATTTTAATTTATTTTTAAACTTAATAAATATATTTTAATTTTTTACACTAAAGTTGCATTAACAATAAAATGAAATAAAGAAACTACTATGATATCAGACTTAATATACTAGTTATAATTGAATCATAATTTAAAATATTAATGCATACTAATAATTTGATTATATACAAAAAGTACAAATATTACACGAATGATATTTTTAATAAAGGCACAATTTGTGCATTGAACAGAACGCATATTAAATAAATTCTAAATAAAATTGTATCGCTGAAAAATTATAATTGAAATGTGAAAAGTTGGGTTGTAAATTCTGAATAAACTATTTCACTGAAACATCGTAAATGAAATGTGAAAAGTTGGACCCCTCGCCCTCACATAGACTATGATTAAATATGATTAATGTTACATCCTATCGAAAACTGCAATATAGTAACCTAATTTTTTAATATTTTATTAATACACGTACACATGTGCAAATATGTGTTTTTCAATTCATTTGTATGAAGAAAAAAGTGAAAATAGTTATTTTTACCTCATTTTGAAGTTCTGCTAAGTTTTTCACACCGCCCAATAAAAAGCTAAGTTTTTCACCCCAGAAAATGCGAAAGACATTGTGCGATGAATATGCGATAGTTGCGAAATGACATTGTGCGAAAGTTAGAAGTGCGAAGACATTCGCATATTCCTCTGCACTTTATGGGGTGAAAAAAGTTAAAGTGCAAAGGCATTATGCGAATGAATATGCGATAGTTGCGCGATGACATTGTGCGAAAGTTAGAAGTGCGAAGGCATTCGCATATCACTTCGCACTTTCTGGGGTGGAAAAAGTTAAAGTGCGAAATCATTGCGCGATGAATATGCGACAGTTATGCAATTGATATGCGATAGTTATGCAGTCATTCGCATAACCTTCGCACTTCCCGGGGTGAAAAAGTTAGATAGTTAGTGGGCGGTGTGAAAAACTTAATGTATCTTTGTATTATGGTGAAAAAGATTTTTTCCCAAGAAAAAAAGTCCAATAACTACACTTAACTCCTTATTTAGTGTCAATGTGAAAGGTTGGGCCCCTCACCCTCATATAGACTATGATTGGACATGATTAATTTTACACCATAAGTTCTGAAAAAAAATTGATTCGATGAGAAATTATAAATGAAAAGCGAAAAGTCGGGCCCCTCACCCTCACATAGACTAGGAGGGAAAATAACTAATATTACATCTTATCGAAAACTGCAATACAGTCACCTATTTTTTTAATCTTTTATTAATATACATACATATGTGCGAATATGTGTTTTTCAATCCATTTGTTAAAAAAAATCCAATAATTGCGCTTCACTCCTTATTTAACGTCAATGTGAAATTGATTAATCAATTAGAAATTAAAAATGAAATTGATTAATCGATTAGAAATAAAAAAAATCCAATAATTGCGATTCACTCCTTATTTCACAAACATAAGTGAAATTGATTCGTTGAAACATCATAAATGAAATGTGAAAAAAGTAGACCCTTCACCCTCATATAGATTATGACTGAACATGATCAATGTTACATCCTATTAAAAATTACGATACAATCGCTTGATTTTTTAATATTGTATTAATACACGTACACATGGCGAATGTGTTTTTTAATCAATTTTAGAAAAAAAAAAAACTCCTATAATTACACTTTACTTCTTATTTAACATCGATATTTATAGCCTGTGTATACAAAATTACAAATATAATTCCTCACCCTCCAAAAAATAATAAAAGGAAAAAATTTAAAAAAAAAAAAGCCGCAAAAAGGGAAAAATAACTGGAAGACCAAAACGGTCGGCATCCAGCCGTTGAAAAATTAAAATCAGAAGAAATCTCAACCGTCGAAAATCACAAGTGAAAAATAATATCCTATTTTCTCAACCAACCTCAATTATCTGTTTTATAAAATCCCCACTTTCACCACTACTTCCGACCCACCACACGAACATTTTCACCAGTCGTCTTTGTATACGCACTGGTAATTCTTCCTTTCTCCCTCAGATCTCAAAAATCTTTTTTTCGAATTTTAATCTCGCCGAAAAAGATCGAAAATGAGGGAGTGCATCTCGATCCACATCGGACAGGCTGGCATTCAGGTCGGCAATGCCTGTTGGGAGCTTTACTGTCTCGAGCATGGCATTCAGGTTCGATTTGATCTGCTTTTGTTCCGATTTTTTATGTTTTTTATCGTGAATTTTGTCAGATCCTGCTGGTTTATGCAGATTTTGTTCAATTGTTTTAAGTTCGATACGAGATCTGGCTGTTTTCCATGTGTTTGATTGCGTTTTGTTGCTCACTGGTGTTTGATATGTCGTGAATGATATTAATATTGTGTTTGATCTGGATTTTATCTCAATTACGTCTTGTATGCGTTGCTTCCGTTAGATCTGGTTATTTTAATGTATTCTGTTGCTGGTCGGAGTTTTATTTTTCCGGTATGATATTGGAAGAGCGATGATCTCATGTCGAGGTGCTCATTATTGTCGTTGTTCATGCAGCCTTTCTTCAATAATTTAATTTCGATACGAGATCTGGCTGTTCTCGTGTATTTGATTGCGTTATGTAGCTCACTGGAGTTTGATTTGTCTTGAATGATAGTAGTGTTGCTCTTTGATGAATATAATGGTTCCTCTTATCTTCCTTACATAATGTTTACGGTGCTCTTGTTAGATCTGGTGGTTTCATGTACTCACTTGCAATTTTGTTACCTGTTGGAGTTTGGTTCGTGCTGAATGTTCAATCATTGCAGTTATACCTAATAAGAGCTGCATTTCTCTAACTCAGATCTGGGAAATTTAAGAAGTTTTCTAGTTTTACTTTTCCGAGGTTTGTTAAAAAAATTAAGGAGCTAACGATTTGTGCACTCAAACCTTTGGAGATTGAAGTTATTACGATTTCATTTACATCTATATGTACAGCTTTCTGTTGATGCTGATTATACTGAACAGTCATTGATTTCTATTCTGCAAACTGAGATGTGGGATTATTTTTTCATTCCCACTTGATTGTTCCTTTTGCTCTGATGCAGAGTCGAATAACTTACTAACTGGGTGTTCTTTAATGTTCCGTTTATATCAGCCCGATGGACAAATGCCCAGTGATACCACTGTTGGTGGAGGTGATGATGCCTTCAACACATTCTTCAGCGAGACTGGTGCAGGCAAACACGTCCCCCGAGCAGTGTTTGTCGATCTCGAGCCAACCGTGATTGATGAGGTCCGCACGGGCACATACCGCCAGCTGTTCCACCCAGAGCAGCTCATCAGCGGCAAAGAAGACGCAGCTAACAACTTTGCCAGGGGCCACTACACAATCGGCAAGGAAATTGTGGACCTTTGCCTTGACAGGATCCGTAAGCTTGCTGACAACTGCACTGGCCTTCAGGGCTTCCTCGTTTTCCATGCTGTGGGTGGCGGCACTGGATCTGGGCTCGGTTCCCTCTTGCTCGAGAGGCTCTCTGTCGACTATGGCAAAAAATCGAAGCTCGGTTTCACCATTTACCCTTCACCCCAGGTCTCGACAGCTGTCGTCGAGCCTTACAACTCGGTTCTTTCCACTCATTCCCTCCTCGAGCACACTGACGTCGCTATTCTTCTGGACAACGAGGCAATTTACGACATTTGTCGCAAGTCCCTTGACATCGAGAGGCCCACTTATACTAATCTCAACCGGCTCATCTCTCAGGTAATGTAATTAACTAATTTACGAGCTGTAAATTTATTTATTATGACCGATTAAAAAAACGTGTTCTTCAAAACTCCCCCAGGTGATTTCTTCCTTAACTGCTTCCCTGAGGTTCGACGGTGCTCTGAACGTTGATGTGAACGAGTTTCAAACAAATCTCGTTCCATACCCAAGGATCCACTTCATGCTCTCTTCATACGCGCCTGTTATCTCAGCTGAAAAAGCCTATCACGAGCAGCTTTCCGTGGCTGAGATCACAAACACAGCCTTCGAACCCTCGTCTATGATGGTCAAATGCGATCCGCGCCATGGAAAGTACATGGCTTGTTGCCTCATGTACAGAGGCGATGTAGTCCCGAAAGATGTTAATGCTGCTGTGGCAACTATCAAAACAAAGAGGACTATACAGTTTGTCGATTGGTGCCCGACTGGTTTTAAGTGTGGGATTAACTACCAGCCACCGACTGTTGTTCCAGGTGGGGATCTTGCGAAGGTTCAAAGGGCTGTGTGCATGATATCGAACTCGACTAGTGTTGCTGAGGTGTTCTCGAGGATTGACCACAAGTTTGACTTGATGTATGCTAAGCGTGCGTTTGTGCATTGGTATGTGGGTGAGGGTATGGAGGAAGGAGAGTTCTCGGAGGCTCGGGAGGATTTGGCTGCTCTGGAGAAGGATTATGAGGAGGTCGGGGCTGAGTCGGGTGAAGGTGAGGATGACGAACCGGAGGATTATTGAGAAGAAGGTAAGTTGATTGTGGTGTGTGTCTGGCCAATGGGCTCATTGGTTTAGTTGGGTAGTGTGTTTTCTTATTTGGGTTTGTTATGATGAATTGTGATTGAACTTTGAAGACATGTTTTATTGTGTTTGTGTTGAACTTGGTTTTTGTGGTTTTATGCTGTTGTTATTATGTGGTATGAAATTTCCAGTTTTAGTGGTGTGTGCACTATTTGATGATTGATTGGTTGTTACACTGCACAAGTAGGTTTATGGGCTTTGTTTATTTGTGTTCTTTGGAATAATTTTCAACTAAAGGGTCTTTATTATACAATATTATATACAAGAGAAGAAGATACTCATTCTAGGATATTTTTCTATTTAGTAGTTTACCAATGTACAAACACATATATACATCCATTCTCTTTTCAAACACTCTAAAACAGGATGAACAGAGAAGTTGGACTTTGATTCCATTTGTCACTGGAGCCTCAAAATATTGCCTCTGGATTTCTCGTTGAAATTGATCTCATTCCTTTCTTCTTACGCTGAAGAAGAAAACAGGAAAAGAACATAAGAAATAAAGATTACAGGATAAGGTGAACATAAGAATACAAAACAAGGAGAGGGGAAAAAAGGACTAACATATTTTATTAGACCGAAAATCACCTATCACCGAATTCTAAATAGACCAATTAGATCATATTCTCTTCCAAATATTTTGTTGAAGCTTATAGAATAAGAACAAGTTATCAGTAAGACCTATATACCCTTTTATTTTCACCTTCCTATTTGAATCTGTAAATCTTTCCTCCACATATTTTGTTGAAGTTTATGGAATATGATCTATATACAACTTAGCTAATAACTGATTGAATATGCAAATTGTTTGACAAACACTCTCTACCCAAATTGCTACTTAACAAACAGATAGTTAACTTGAGATTGTGAATTAGTGACCCATCAAATCTCTCATTCACATCAAATCTCTACTTCAGTCCATACCATTATTTGACAAACAATTGCCTAAACCCAAGAAGATAATCAATCCAATACCCGGCTTAATAAAACTTTGTCGACCTTGTTTGAGAAAATTTTTCTTAAAAAAAAACAAATGAGATAAACTTAAGATTAACAATAATTTTGTCGGCTCGTGAACTATTTTTAT